ACAAGAGAAAACCCACATAACTACTGAATTTTAATTGCTTTTGTAAAGTCTGTAGTATTCATGAGTTTGTCTTAACGTCAGAAGTTTCATTAGCAGGTGGCACAGATATACAGTTTTGTGGCCTTTGAGCATTCGGTTTCTTTTATGGAGTCATAAAGAGTCATAGTCCTATCCCAGGTTCTCTTAAAGGCTAGATGTTGTCACTTTTAGTGGTAGAGGTCTGTTGACTGGCATTTATGAAGCATATAGTTTCCGCAGAACCAGCCAACCACAATGTGCTTTATGGCACAGGCAGATATATATGCAAGTCAGAGCCCTTCAAAGTTGAATCTCCCTTTAATAAGCATTGTTAGCTCTGCTGACTAACTCAGAGTCAGACTGTCCATTGTTTCTCTGTTCTCTTTAGTACCTGACAGTTCCCAGAGTGCCCAGAGTCACCTGATGAGCCGTTGGCTGTCCATCCAGCATTAGCACTAACAGTAGTTTCAGAAAGTTAGTTAATGGGAACTAAGAAGCTGATGGGGACTGGAGAGAGATGACTCAGTGGTCAGGAATCGTTCTGCACATCATGAGGACCAGAGTTCAGATCCCAGCACCCTCATAACAAACTGGGCATCTGGTACAGTCCTGTAACCTCTGTTCTGAGTGCAGCAGAGTCAGGAGTCTCACCTGTGCCCCCTAGCTGCCACTGTAGCTGAGGGAATGTGAGCACCAGGTTCAGTGAGAAACCCGGCCTCCTCTTTTAGCCTCTACATTCACACAGAAGCACATGTACCATACTCTGCTGGAGGGAGGCTTTAAAAGTCACTCCTCAAAGCATTCCTATAAAAATTAGTTGATTTTCTTTTAGATTAAGGCTGAATGGATACTTGTTGTGTTAGATGTGGTGTTTTGTTTGTTTTTGCTCATTTTGTGATGATGGAGATTAAGGTCAGGCCTGTGCATACTGGACATGTCCTACAACCTTAGTTCTCAAGACGTGGCTGTTATAATAATGGCTGTTACTTTAGGCGTGGCTAATTCTGCTTTGTTCTAAAGCTTTAGTAAGCTCCTGGATAAACGGTCTATTATAGTTTGTTCTTTTCTCCTTTTTCTGGTCAACTTCATTCTCTGTCTCCTCCTCCCTTCTACCAAGTACTAGACTCTTGTAGCATGCTAGGCAAGCACTTAACCACTGTGCCTGTCCTCCCATTTTGTTCTTTCTTATAAATGTATAAAACTCTTTCTGCCCTTATAATCAAACTGTGACTAACAAATTAAATATATTTAATAAAGAGACCGCTGTGTTCAGCTGGCCCAGATTTAGCCTTTTAAGATAGAATTATTTAGTGATTTCTGCTAAATCTTCAGTCTCTTAAACCATGTTCCAGATAATGTTTGTGGGTCAGGTTAGCATTTTTTTACATGACACCACTAACTTCACCCTTACCGTGTGTGTGTGAGGGGGTGTGTGTGCAACTCGTGTGTGTGCATGTGCACATACGTCTGTGTGGTGTGTGTGTGCACGCACACAGACTCGTGTCCCTGTGTAGGTGCACACATGCCAGTATGTGCACGTGGAGACCAGAGAGGTTTACCTTGAGCATCATTCTTATTCACTCTGCACCTTAGTTTTTGAGATAAGAACTCTGACTGAACCTAGGGTTTACCCTCTGTGCTAGGCCAGCAGACCAGCAAGCCCCAGGGGCCTGCCTCTTTGCCCACACCCAACACTATGTTTACAGACAATGGTCCCCACCTAGCATTTACATAGGTACTGAAGATCTCAACTCAGATCCTTTTGCTTTTGTAGAACAAGCCCTTTAACCATTGAGCCATCTCTCCGGCCTCTCTTCATTTTTGAATGCTACATATTATACTATAAAACACAGTATTGCCAAATCTCTCTAGAGTTATGTTAAGTAAGTGATTTTAAAAACCATTCTGGAACCTCTCATTTTCTCAATCATAGAAGAACACATTAAAAAAATCCTGTGTATTCAGTAAATAAACAGAGACACAATTGGAGATCAGACTTAAAATGTGAAATTCATTTTCAGTTTAAGCAGAAAATGATATCCATTAGTTTCTCTAATAGCCATTAACAGCACACATGGGATAACTGTGGTGCAGAAAGCTTAAGTTTTATCATGTCGTGTGCTTCTTTGTAATGGCTGTTACAGAGTAGATATGTAGAAGTTGTCGTGTTAACACATATTGTAGCAAATATTTGTTGCTATTCATTCATTCTTTTGATATGATATGACATGCTACATAAAGAGAACTTTCTTTTCAGATAATAAGCTGTGTAATAAATATTTAAGGTGCTACTATGTAAGTGTCTATCACATGTGACACATGTGTTCAGATGAGTGTGGCCTCTAAATGATGAATATATAGCAATTTAAAATTTTTCTGGGGGCTGGAGAGATGGTTCAGTGGTTAAGAGCTGCTCTTCCAGAGGTCCTGAGTTCAATTCCCAGCAACCACATGGTGGCTCACAACCATCTGTAATGAGATGTGGCGCCCTCTTCTGGCGTGTGGACATACGTGGAGACAGAATGTTGTATACATAATAAATAAATAAATAAATCTTTTTTAAAAAAAGAATTTTCTGAAGGACATTGTGGTCCAGCTCTGCAAAGAAAGTCTTGTTCTCTGAAATCACTTCCTTCTCTGGGCATAGGTCTGTGCTGCTTTAATTTCTTGATGCATCGCAGGCAGATGTTCCTACAGAGTTCCCCAGAATCTCAGAGCTGCTCCCGTCCTTGTCTGATTAGTAAGTCTCTCCGGATGCCTCTTTTCCTCTTTGCACACTTATTCTACAGTGCCATCCACTTCATGTGCTCAGCAAAACCAAAGGTTTCTAGTCCCTTTACTTGGGTAAGCCGTGGTTTTCAGCTCCTTGCCTTGCCGTTTCTGTTTCCAGGGACAGAAGGAGCTCACAGACCAACACCACCAATGGGTTAAATTCTTTCATCAAACATGTTTATGAGGGGCCACTGCTATGCTTTCTCCCCCGCTGCTTGCTAGTTCACTAATCAAATGTATGTTAGATTGATTATTGTAAAAGTATAAACCATAGAAAATTTGACAAGATAGATGTGTAAATTATCCTTCTGACAGAACTAATGATGCACTCCAAGCACCTTCTGTTTTCCAGTGCTTGGTGAGTGACTTCATTAAGTATGCAATGGCTGTTGGGTGGCTTCTCAGACAATGGTTCAGTTCCTTGTGGAATTGCATTATTACTAGAGGTGTGAAACCAGGCAGACAAGCTAGCTGTTGGGCGTCCTGCCGAGCTGCTAATGTGCTCCATCTTGTTGGAGCAGTTGTTTGCCGTCTTTTCAGGACAATTACATCCATAACCACAGGACACATTCAGTGAAGCTATATTACAGATAACCGTGGAGACTGGCGCTGATGCTCTTCATCCCTGTCCCCGAGCTGCCACAGCATGAGTTGCGCCTTCCACAACTCAGACTAGCTGCTGCTTGCTTGTCCATCTTGTCTGTCAGCTTCACAGAGCAAATCTGCAAGCGTGGACTTGTAACTTGTTTAGGATGTTATAATTGAATGCGTGGATCTGTTTGCAGGTGAGAAAGCTCAGTTGCAGCACAGTGCCGAGGTGATGATGGTCCTGTTAGGTCTTCAGGCGGAGGCTGCTCCAGAAGTCTCTGCTTTCAGAGAGAGCTCTCCAAACAGAAACTTTCACTTTGAACTTTAGGTTCCCCCCACTAGACTTGGCTTCTTGTATTGTAACACCTCAGTGCTTTGTTGTTTCCTACGCCAGCCACAAGTACCTTGCTTTCTGAAGCATCTGCCATTTGTTATTTGGATGGTGATTTGATGGTTTTCTAGAAAACTGGACCTGAAAGCTGCTTTGAGCTAAGCGGAAGTGGTATTTAGGGTTCCAGATGGCATGTGTTGTGATGTATTGCTGCACCCTGATAAATGGGAGTGCACTTTAGAGTGACAGGCTGGATACTTTTATGAAAGGCTTCCCATCTCTGTTGGCTAGTTAAATCTCTTTTGATGACTCTGGATCATTAATGAACATTTGTGCAAAGTGACCATTTGAATTCAGTTATTATGATAATGCATATGTTTGAGAAGAGCTTCATGCAAATAGCCGTAGTGTAAACTAAAATCCCTGTTTTGTCATGTTTGAATACACTGCTTTGCTCTCAGTGCCAAAGCAAGTTTGAATGTCAGGGTTCTTTTATCTGTTCCTCACAAAAATTTTAGATAGAAAATGTTTTTATTTAGTGCCTTTAAAAATCATTAACTCTGCTAATTATTGTGATATTTTATTGCCTCAAATTTGTAAGACTAAAATAAGGAAAAAATAAAATGAACAATTCATAAAGGAAATTAAATTTAAATTAAGCACCTGCTTTTGTGTATGCCAAAAACCAAAACAAAAACACGTTTGGGTCTGGCAGAACAATGACAAGAATATAACTGTTATTTGGGGTACATGGGTTTATTTAAAGCACTTGGAAAAGAATTTTTGATTGGAGAGATTCATAGTTGGATCTTTCCCCGCAGAACCATTGAGTCAGATTTTCTCATTTCTCTTAACTATACACCTTAAAATATTTTAAAGAGCTAGTCTGTCATTTTTGTCAGGTCTGTCCAACAGATTTGTTTTCTATGATATTTCTCTTCTGCAAGCTTCATTTTCTACAAAATTATGACTTGTTGGGAGTAGGCTTTTGATAAGCATGGTCTTTTTCGTCTTGTTATTTGTAAAGTGATCTCAGTCCATGCTTCTTTCAATCTCCATTTCATAGTTTACAGAGAAAGGAGACAGTGTGGGGCACAGACTTCCCCTGGGAATGCATTGGGCTTAATGAGCTTGATAGTCTAGTGGGCTCAATAAATCAAGTAAAGCAAAACATTTCTCATTTTTGAATAAAAGCATTTATCACACAGTGTTTGCTCACTCATGGTCACAAGATTGATTGGTTTCCAGCATTCAAGGTGTGTACTGAAGCCTTTTTGATTCTGTTTTCCAGTGGGCAAGTTACGAAAGCAGTGGCTAAAGGAAAGCATCTCTGATGTCGGCTTTGGGATGCTAAAGTCTGTCAAGGAATATGTGGACCCCAGGAACATCTTTGGAAACAGAAACCTTTTGTAACTCCGTGGATATCATTGTGAAAAATGTTATCTTTTTAAAGTCATCAGTTATGGTTATACCAGTAATCAAATATATCATGGACTGTATTTCAGCTATGTTTGTTTGTTGGTTTCAAATAAGTCGGTTTTCGTTCTATGTTTGTTTCTACAGCTCTAGATTGACAGATGGCGTTCCTAGGTCTCTCTCACTGTAGGTATTCCAGTTTAGAGCCAACTAACTGGTTGTCATTTCAGACTTTAGGCAGCACAAGGCTGCCCGATATCTGAGGGTGCGGCCAGCAACCGCTCCTCTAGGTGAGCTGAGGGAGATTGTGTCATCTGCGTCTTGTCTAGCCTCTATTGTGTCCTTTCTTAAACAACATTTCTCTAAAGCAGACATCTAACAAAGATTCTGCTGGGGAGAGAGATTTGTGTGTGTGTTAAAAGCGTCCTTTCCTGGGAGGAAGTTGTCACGGGAGGACACTCGGGACAGAGCCAGCAGTCTGTCACTAGCATCCTTCATCTGTATACGGTGCTCAGCCTAAGCTTTGCTTGAAGTGAATACACAGTTGCACACTTAAATTGCCAACATACAGATTACTCTGTGAGCAGACACATTTTTGTCCTCTGTGTCTGTCTCTAGCGGGGTGTGTCACTGAGGGTAACCTGTTGTTCTGTCCTGCGTCATCCATAATAAGTTTTGTAAGAACAGCTGCCTTACTACGGTGAAGGCCGTGGTCCACCCTCCAGTCCTCCTGTGTCTCTGTCAGGCTTGTTGCCAAGCTGCACAGGCAGCTGCAGTGTGAACAAAAGGAAGGCTCCTCAACCTGCTGTCTCCAGTTTAAAAGAATTACTTGGCTAAAGAAACAGTCGCTAGTTGACTCTTGGATTTGAAAGCCTCTATAAAATTAACAGACAACAATCTTTTTTCTAATTAGCCACAAATAGCCTGATAAATGTTTATGGAAAAGTAGTTTCTGTTCAGTTCTTAATAATGGTTTAATGCCTTTTTGAATTACTGGTTTAACCTAAGTTTTAAAATGTATGCCATAATCACAAGTTTGAAATATTCTATTTCTTAAATAAAAGGAAAATATTAATCATATTTAGCAGACATTTTTACATTCAAAACTGGAATTTGAAATAAGTGGAACAGTTGCTTTAAATCACTGTTGAGGTTCCTGATTCACATTGTGAGATGAGTTCTTTTCTTAATGCAATACCTAACTTTTGATAATTTTTTAAAATATTTAATCAGATAATGTAAGTCAGAGTGCAGACGATCCTTTAGAAGGACACACTGTCTGTCTATGTAGCAACAGCTCCAAATATGTTGGGGCAGTTTGATACCTTTTATATCTAAGTAGCCTTAAACAGAGCAGTGAAAATTTAAAATTGACAAAATGATATTTTTAAGACTTCAAAATGATAAATAATTTTTAACTATTAAAATTGGCCTCAAACTAACAAATTTAAATCTGTAGGGAAAAAATCAATATTAAGTATTAGTTTAACCACAAAACTCAATATTTATTTTTTGGAAGCTGCCTCTCTACTGATGATTTATTTTCAGTTATAAAGTTTCCATGTCTTTGGTTAAAGATTTTGATGGTTTGAAATAGTTGGACACTCAAGGAATTGCCTCTCGAATTGTAAGATTCTTTATAAAATGCATCTCTTCTTGAAGGTGATTCTCTAATTGGTGAATTGAAATGTAACATTTAGTAAGATTCCAACCTCTCACTGGAAGTGTATACATGTTTCCAAGGAATTATTTTTAATAAACAGTTTTATTAGCAGATTCAGTTCCTTGCATGTGACTGTTAAAACCTTTCCCCCAGGGAGTTCAGATTTCCACAACCTTGGCAATCTGTGCTGTTAGGGTACCTAGCTCCTGAAGTTGTTGGGTTTGCCATCCCACACGGACTCTATGGAGGTTAGCAGTTTATGTCTTTGTTTCTTTCTATCTCTGGATGCAGACCTCACCAATCTTGATTCTACAGCGGCCATGACATTTTGTATCTGAAATAATCTCAAGCGGGTTCATTTGAAACCTGAGAGCTCTCATTAGTACAGTTTCACTGTCTGTAGGTCAGGAAACCTTCCCACCCACTTCTGGGAGGCGCCTCAGTGTAAACCTGTCTTCAGAGGAGCACGAGTTTGCGAATGTGCACAAAGCACTTAAGCCTTGCCTCCTTCAGAAGTGTCTGCACGTGGATCCATGAGCCTAACCCAGGAGAATGCTGGTTTCTGAAGCATCTTAATGCATGGGTTAGTTTCTTTAAAAGCTGCAGCCTGTTTGATACTCAGGAGCACCTAGCACTGACTCACTCTTCTTTAAGTCAGCCATATGTGTAATATTTTGCTTAAATCTGATGACATCACATGTCGGTTGGGATTTTAGTGGGAATGGGAACTTGCTGCTAATGAGATCTAATACTAAAGACTCAAATGGACAGGCTTTGCAGCCCTTGGAGAAACTGTTGCCTTAATGTGTGGTGTGACATACAGTGGTGCATAAGTGAACTGAGTCTCATGTTACGTCCTTTGAGACTCTTAGCTGGGTTGTGGAGGCCATATGTTTCCTGTGTCCAGCATTTCATCAGAGAATACAAGATTAAACTACTCTTTTCAGGAATGGGAGGTTGGTACTTGAAATGCTTACATATTATAGAAATATTGATCTGAGATTATTTATGAATCTGGAAGCCTTCTAGTATTCATATTTGTGTTGTTAGTTTATTTTGGAAAACAAAAGTTCAATAAAAGACAAGCTTCCATCGGTGTGTATCAGATATAAACACATGCGAGAACTCCCCCCCCCCAGAATATTGTAACTGAGTGCTAATTTGCATACTTGAGAAAGCCTTTCTGCATATTATCCCCAGAGATTTTCCTGTGCTGTGTTCTCTCATACAGCTTCTAACTGTAAGCGATCAGAGAAGCTCCCAAGTCCTAACATGAAGTGTGTTGCTCCACATGGAGCTGGGTTTGCTGTCACTGTCAGAACACATAATGTAGAGGGACCACTTCACACTGCATGACAGTGCTTGAGCAGCCAGCTCTGCCTGTGGGAGGTGTATCCAGTCTGAGGAGCGTGGAGACAGCCATGAAGATAGCGGTAGTAATCTTGAGGGGTTTCTCCCGCACTTAATCTTCAGTGATTTTGATTTTACCCAGGGCTCCGCTTGTGGCAGGGAGCACAACAGGAGCACAGGAGGACCACGGTGGGTACAGATTAGGACTGGAGACTCTGAGCTTTTGCCTGTGGCCTTGTCCATTGTGGGGGCTTGGCTCAGGTCTTTATGTTCCAATAGGAGCTGTCTGCCTACAAATTCGTTTAATTCTTTCTCTTTACTGAAAAAAATATACAATGAGAGGAAAATCCAGAAAGTATAAAAGGTTTTCTTCAATTGTTGAAGTATGTGTCTGACGTGAAGGATGTAACCCAGCTTTCTGTTCCTTAAGCCAAATAGTGTTCGTCTTCAGTGTGAAACTTAACTGTAAAAACTGCTTGTATAATGTCAAGAGATTATAGAAACATATTAATAAAATGGACATGGCTTATGATTTTTTTAATCAAAAGGAGGTGTGAAGCTGTTTTTTATTGTTTGCATATGTTTTCAACTTTTTTCACTTCATATTTCCATAGATTTGAAAATAAAAAATAATCTTTGTAAGTTTGCTAATGTAGCATAATCTAAACACCCTATGACTGAATCCCTTTGGCCTTATGGCTGAATATATCATAATCTAGACAACCCAACTATGACTGAATCCCTTTGGCCTTATGGCTGAATATATCATAATTCAGTTGCATCAGTCGCCAGGTTTTTTAATCAATATTAAACCTTTAGGTGGTGTTCAGAGCATTCCCTTTCAAACCTGGAAGGCCACAATGAACATCCTCACGTTCTCTAAATAAGTACAATCAATTCCTTAATAGAGGGAGTAAAGATCACTGATGTAAACCACTCTCAAGCCAAAGAACACTCAGAATTACACCTAGTTCTGTGAATATGAAAAGACTTTTTGTTGTTGTTCCCAAAGGATATTGTTTTATTTTTAAAGAAGAAATAAGTAATACATTGTCCGGTGATTTTTTTTTCTTTGTAGATTCTAGGGGCTTACTTCCTGAGAGCAGAGATTGCTCAGCTGCATGTGCCATGTGGATGGCATTGTTAGTGTTTCCATGTGGGTGACATTGTTAGTGTTCCCAGCAGCACACACTCGCCCTGAGAAATACCCTTATCCCGGACTGTTCGCAGAGGGCTGCAATGCCTGGATCAGTGTAGTTTATCTAAGTGGGCTTTTATTAAACACTGTCCTTTTAAAGCTCACAGTGCCTTCTTGGGATTTTTCTCTTTTCTTCCATGAAACATCTAAAACAAGAGAGGATATGCTGTAAAGGCAGAGAGGGTTTAGCAATTCAGGGTTCTTCTCTTCAAGAACACATCAGAATTTGGTAATTGTATGTAGAAACACTGTTCTGTGTTGGTTGGGTTATCTATATATTTAATCAGTTATATGCTTAACCTGGACTCAGACATCCAGTCATTCGGTGGGATGGATTTGTGTCTGCTCTTCATTCCTGCTGTCCCACCCTAGTAACCCTAAGATAGGGCTTGGCAAGTCTTGAGACACCCACTGTATGCTTTTGACTTTGTTTACACAGCTCCCTAAGGAAGCAGGGTACTAGACCGTATGCTCCGTGTCTGTCTTTGTGTGCGTGCGTGCGTGCGTGTGTGTGTGTGATGCCTTGGGAATAATGAGCATTTTGTTCCTGGGCAGTAATAAATCCTGTGAGAAGTAGGTGTGTTCTATACAGCTTTGTTCTTTTTTTGCTAAGTCTGTGAAATAATTTGCTCTGATACAACTTAACTTGAATAATATCCTATCCTGAGTCTTCCTCCATGGCAGTACATGTTTCTGCCAGTACTGTGGTCATCTTTTGGGAATTACATGTGGGTAAAATGTATGTGTAAGCCATTATACCACTGTAACTAATGCATAGGCAACAGTCTTCCCTTCACACTTAGAGTCTAAAAGTGGATGTGAAGTGGGGGGTAACCTTTCCGAGAGGTTCTATAGAGCTTGTCAAGTTCACACTGAG